ACTGAGAACAATGCACCAATCAGCAAACGCCCTTGAGAGGATAAACCCGAACCCCATTGTGAAGAGCCTTGGCTAAGTGCCTCGTAGGTACATAGATCACTTTAAAGGCACTTTCTGACAAATTGTTTTTTTTTTGCATGCGGCCGTGTTCTCACTATCACTTTGTCCCCTCCAGCAACACACATTTGCCTAAATAATTTATGCATCTGCTCTGCCACCCCTTCTTCCCAACACCAAACAAGTGGAAGCACCCCAATCCCCAGGAGTGGAATTGCACTGGGGTGAAAATAAGCTGCTGGCAAACTCTTGCCTCCTTCTCCCAGAGGCTGCTCTCATGAGAAATAGGATTAAAGCCTGGTCTGTTTGTATGCTGCCTACTTAGACATGCTAAAACACAGACTTTTTACAGAAAGCTGCATGACCAAATGAGTGTGAGTGTGTGTGTGAGTGTGCATACTTGACAGAGTATGCAAGGATTGACCATGATGGTAACCTTTGGAGATAATTACACTTTTGCTCATCAACCTGAAAGGTTGACTTACAAAGAGATCGGTCCAAACCTTTAATTAGCCCACAACAGCCCAACTAAATATAATTGGCATCTAAAACCTGAAGTGATTAAAAAAAAAAAAATCTCTGACAGCTCTGTTTTTGTGAGCCATTATTTTTGATTCCGTATGGTTTATATGCAGTACAGTCAAATCCATGCTGTTCAGTCCCTGACAGGTATCGCCACTGCTGGAGGCTAAAAGAGCCTTAGCCTATTTCGACTGAAGCTGTCAGTACATGTCTGGTTCAAGCAGAGTCCAGTGGAGCAATCAAAACCACATTTTCAGTAGGCTAAAACTTCAACTGGTTCAACTTCAACAAAAACGGCACACTCTTTGATTCAACATTTTAAGGCTCTTTTCATGGATAAATACCATTGTTATAATCAACCTTTTGGAATGTAATACATTTTTTAGTGAATTTAACATCTTTTTAATATGAACTGTTTGTGGAACCAAAACATGGAATTTGAAGACATGTTTGGGAATAGATATAAACACTTGTACACACTATTCAGGCGTTTCATTAACACAACAATCGGTTATTCTGACAATGACTCTCCCAGTATTACACCTACCTGTATCGGTGAGAGAACCATGTTCTTTAGGATCTCATCAAGTTCAGGACCTTCTTTCAAGAAAATAGCAACCAACTAAATCTTCATACATCCCATCTGTTCTTCGTCTTAGGGATATGTTATCGACTTACAGTAATGTCATTAATATTGAAGCATTTGTTCATATGTAGAGTTAACAGTTAATGGCTCAGAATTATTATATCAGTGTTAAACACTGCAATTCAACAAAGATCCATACACCTTTTACTGCCAGCATTTATATGTTTCATTTTTTTCAAATACTTGAAATGTTCACATTTGTTTTTTGACAATAAACTCAACCTTTTACATTTCAGACAATTTCAGCTCCTTTTTCCTGGAAGGTTGTATTTTTCTACTATAAATACCTTAAATGTGTTTCATTGGGTTCAAGTAAAGCAACATTCTTGGTAGGTCATATTTCTTTTTTCCCCCCTTTTTTTCCATACTTTTTTTCTTCATTGTGAACTCTGGTGTAGTTTTGGCATTGTGTTTTTGGATGGTTATTATGCTAGAGCATTCGTCTTCTGCCAAGTCATTTTGTTAGCCAGACCTTTGGTACATCCACAGGCATTCATGGTGCAATGTGGAAATGCCATCTCAGAAACACCTTTTGTCCTCACGGTTCTCCGTATGGTCACACTCCCACCTCTGTGCCTATCAGGGTTATGAATTCACTGCAGTAGTCCTTGGCCAGATTTACGTCAAACATGTTCTGCCTCATCTGAGACTCAGAAATTCATCTTAGTCCGATCTGACTAAAGCAGAGATTCTGAATATTTATCAAGCTTTAATCTTTAATTGAAGTTTAATCTTATAGTTTTGTGCCAAAGAGCAAGCCAGGGATTTTTTTTCCTTGGATGCTGTCCAGTATGGTTGATGTTATGCAATGTCCTTTCTGCTTTTCAAACTGTCACAGCAACTCTGATTCTCACTGATAACCCTTGTGCCAAGTTTCCTCTTGCCTGTCTGTGTTTGACACCTGATTAGTAGTTCTATAGGTTATTTGTAGGCCCTTGTACTGCTGCAGCTGTGTTTTAATCGACTTTTAGTTATTTAGTTTAATCATCATGTGTTCTTTGTAATTTAATCTTTATGAATTAAAACAGTTCTTCAATTTCTCAGCCAATTCCTTCATTCATGGACAATTCACAGCTCATTTTATAACTGCGGTTATGCAGTGGGGCAAATAAAAAAAATTACTGGTGCACTCAAATGCATTTCAGTGATCACAGGTTTTCTCACATGGATGTCTGTGATAACAATGGTGTTTGGGTTTATTGCA